CCACAGAACGGCTACCAGTGCCACAAGTGCAGGTGTGTGTCACTGTGTGTGCCCCCAGAGCCACTGTGTGTGCCCACAGAATGTCTACCAGTGCCACAAGTGCAGGTGTGTGTCACTGTGTCACTGTGTGTGCCCCCAGAACAGCTACCAGTGCCACAAGTGCAGGTGTGTGTCACTGTGTGTGCCCCCAGAAAGGCTACCAGTGCCACAAGTGCAGGTCAGGGTGTCCCCAGTGTCACCACAGCCACTGTGTGTGCCCCTAGAGTCACTGTGTGTGCCCCTAGAACGTCTACCAGTGCCACAAGTGCAGGTCAGGGTGTCACTGTGTCACTGTGTGTACCCCCAGAACGGCTACCAGGGCCACAAGTGCAGGTCTGAGTGTCCCCAATGTCCCCAAAATCACTGTGTGTGTCCCCAGAGTCACTGTGTGTGCCCCCAGAGTCACTGAGTGTGTCCCCAGAGTCACTGAGTGTACCCCCAGAGTCACTGTGTGTGCCCCCACAACGTCTACCAGTGCCACAAGTGCAGGTCAGGGTGTCACTGTGTGTCACTGAGTGTCACTGTGTCACTGTATGTGCCCCCAGAATGTCTGCCAGTGCCACAAGTGCAGCTCTGTGGGTGTCCCCAGTGTGTCATTGTGTGTGTCCCCAGGGTGTCATTGTGTGTGTCCCCAGTGTCCCCAGAGCATGTAACAGTGCCACAAGTGCAGCTCTGTGGGTGTCCCCAGTGTTGCTGTGTGTGTCCTCAGAGTCCCTGTGTCCCCAGAACATCTACCAGTGCCCCAGGTGCAGCTCTGTGGGTGTCCCCCTGTGTCCCCAGTGTGCAGCAGTGCCCCAGGTGCAGCTCTGTGAGTGTCCCTGTGTGTCCCCAGTGTGCAGCAGTGCCCAAGTGCAGGTGTGAGTGTCCCCATGTGTCCCCAGTGTGTACCAGTGCCCCAGGTGCAGGTGTGCGTGTCCCTGTGTGTCCCCATTGTGCAGCAGTGCCCCAGGTGCAGCTCTGTGAGTGTCCCTGTGTGTCCCCAGTGTGCAGCAGTGCCCAAGTGCAGGTGTGAGTGTCCCCCTGTGTCCCCAGTGTGCAGCAGTGCCCCAGGTGCAGGTGTGAGTGTCCCTGTGTGTCCCCAGTGTGCAGCAGTGCCCCAGGTGCAGCTCTGTGAGTGTCCCTGTGTGTCCCCAGTGTGCAGCAGTGCCCCAGGTGCAGGTGTGAGTGTCCCTGTGTGTCCCCANGTGACCTTTCCTTTGTCTCCCCAGTACAGCAGGGATCCCAACCCTTGGTTTCCTGTACCCTTGAGGTTTTGGGGTGCCCTCAGACAGTCAGGGTGCCCTTGCTTTGTCTCCCCAGTACCTCAGGGATCCCAATCCTTGGTTTCTTGTACCCTTGAGGTTTTGGGGTGCTCTCAGACAGTCAGGGTGTCCTTGCTTTGTTTCCCCAGTACAGCAGGGATCCCAACCCTTTCCAGATGTGATTTCCCCTGTCCCTGAGGTTTTGGGGTGCCCTCAGACAGTCAAGGTGCCCTTGCTTTGTCTCCCCAGTACATCAGGGATCCCAACCCATTACAGGTGTGGTTTCTTGTGCCCCTGAGGTTTTGGCGTACCCTCAGACAGTCAGGGTGACCTTTCCTTTGTCTCCCTAATACATCAGGGATCCCAGCCCTTGGTTTTCCCTGTCCCTGAGGTTTTGGGGTGCCCTCAGATGGTCAGGGTGCCCTTGCTTTGTCTCCCCAGTACATCAGGGATCCCAGCCCTTTCCAGATGTGGTTTCCCCTGTCCCTGAGGTTTTGGGGTACCCTCAGACAGTCAGGGTGACCTTTCCTTTTTCTCCCCAGTACCTCAGGGATCCCAATCCTTGGTTTCTTGTACCCTTGAGGTTTTGGGGTGCCCTCAGACAGTCAAGGTGTCCTTGCTTTGTCTCCCTAGTACAGCAGGGATCCCAACCCTTTACAGGTGTGGTTTCCTGTGTCCCTGAGGTTTTGGGGTGCCCTCAGACAGTCAGGGTGACCTTTCCTTTGTCTCCCCAGTACCTCAGGGATCCCAATCCTTGGTTTCTTGTACCCTTGAGGTTTTGGGGTGCCCTAATACAGTCAGGGTGACCTTTCCTTTGTCTCCCCTGTACATCAGGGATCCCAGCCCTTGGTTTCCTGTACCCTTGAGGTTTTGGGGTGCCCCCAGATGGTCAGGGTGACCTTTCCTTTGTCTCCCCAGTATAGCAGGGATCCCAATCCTTGGTTTTCCCTGTCCCTGAGGTTTTGGGGTGCCCTCAGACGGTCAGGGTGTCCTTGCTTTGTCTCCCCAGTACAGCAGGGATCCCAGCCCTTGGTTTCCTGTGCCCCTGAGGTTTTGGGGTGCCCTCAGACAGTCAGGGTGTCCTTGCTCTGTCTCCCCAGTACATCAGGGATCCCAGCCCTTGGTTTCCTGTGCCCCTGAGGTTTTGGGGTGTCCTTGCTTTGTCTCCCCAGTACCTCAGGGATCCCAATCCTTGGTTTCCCCTGTCCCTGAGGTTTTGGGGTGCCCTCAGACGGTCAGGGTGACCTTTCCTTTGTCTCCCCAGTACATCAAGCTGTCGTCCATCAAAGTGGACACGCGCTACACGACCACGCAGCAGGTGGTGAAGCT